GAGGTGAAAGCGGGGGATGATGGGGGTGTTTTGTCCCTGACGGCTCAACATGTCTTGCTGTAGTTTCTTGCTCTAACACGCTTCAGATGCGATAAAGATTTTCAGAAAGAAGATGTGGCATGGATTATTTATCATAACTCTGGTTTTTCTTGGCAAATCAACACAATTTAAAAACAGCTGTATCGTTTAAAGTCTGTACTTCTGACACAAAATAAAACCGAGTAGCTGAGATAGATATATATATATATATATATATACATATATATATATATATATATATATATATATATATATACATATATATATACACACACATGTTTTTTGGAGTCGCTGAAATGCGTTGTCTTCTCTGCTAGAATGACTAAAATCTGTCATGTGACCATCACATTCTGACGTGTCGATTGGCTCCAGGCGGCAGTGCAAGAGACTTGAGAAGGCAGAGCGCCACTTGTTTTTAATTGCGCTCTCCAGTAAAACTTTTGTTTCCGTGTAACTAACTCCATCTTCTACAGTGGATTTGATTTGACCACGAAGCCGCATACGTACGCCTGCTTTTCTACGACCCGCCTTACTGTTAGTGATTGGTCAAGACAACGCGAGCTGGATGTAATCCCTGTCTATTAACTAAAGTTAAGTTGAGGTGGATCGGCAGGCTGTCTCGCTCTCGAACTGGAAATCCGGCCCCCGGCGGAAGCACTTTAAGCCCCGTCTGTGTCTGTGTGTGTGTTCATAAACACTGAGGACAAATTAAGGAGGAAAAAACCCAACAGCATTAACGCGTGTTAAAAAAAAATGTTGGCGTTAATCATTTGCTGAGTTAACACGACGTGCCCAGCACTAATAAAAAGCAAAGGAATAATAATCTGAAAAATGTACTTGTTGAGAAAAAGTAATAATCATAAATACATTTGATGTTTTGAACCACTTTGGCTGTGGCTGCCTCTGAGGAGTCGACAGGGGAGAGGGCGGGCCCCAGAAACCATATTATCACCAGCAAACTGGTTGGTCCACTATGTGAGTGTGCTGCTTGTGGGGCTGAGTTTGTCGTGGCTCCTCGGACTGATTAAGTCCTTTGGATGAAGGACGAAAAATCTCAACAACAAAAAAAGCAACCGTCCAGATGACCTGACTGAACTTTGTTGAATTTTCTACCTGGACTAGTGAGCATGAACTTTGAAATTTAAGCATTCTTCATGCTTGCCAAATAAAATTCTGAAGATCAACGTACCATTTCTATAAAACTGTTGAATTCATGTGATGTTTCAGCTGATGTCCAAGTCTTATGTTTGTATTTAAATGGTAAAAGCAGAAGTGGTGGTCAGAGTAAACTTCTGCTGTGTCTTTGTGGAACAAACGCGTGACTTCTCTGTTTTTAATGTTGTAAGGTTTTGGTTTTTATCACAGTTAAAGTGAAACGTGGTGTGTGTGTAGGGTCAGTGGTTTTGCACAAAATTAGCTCCTTTTAAATAGTCATATAAAGTGGGGGCAGTTGCACATTTGTTTAACTATATCTGTTCTCATTTAAAATAGCTTTAATTTCTCTGACTAGTTTAATGACTAATTTGATGGCTAGTTAATGTTTCCATTGTCTGGCAGTCCCTCCAACAGTTCTTCATCCATACTGCCGGTACCTGTTAATGAAACCCTGCATAGGATTTGTTTTTTTAACATTTCTCATTATTACTTGTGTCTTTTGCTCACAGCTGTGGTAACATCCACCACACACACCACGGTGGTTACCACCACTCCTCAGCACTACCCACAGCAGCCAACTGCAGAGCCTGGTCCTTCTCAGTCCTACCAGGGGGTTCAGTATCCACCTCATCAGCCCATGCCAGTGCAGCCTGGCTATGGAACTCAAGGCATGCCTACGACACCTTACCAGGGAGAGCAGTTTATTCCAGGACCACCACCGACGTATCAGGAAGCCAGTGAGTATCCGAAAGCGCGTCACTCTTGTTCCTATTAATAATTCTGGAAGAAATGCTGCAACATTAAGTAAAGTGGTGCTTCAAAAGGCAGAAGTGTATGAAGATTAACCACTGCTAAACTATACTTAGGTTATGTCTGGATATTTTTAGAAGAAAGAAAATTAAAAATAAAAACTTTACTTTGGGTTAAGGAGCTACAGTCGTGGTTAAAATATTTTTAGACGTTGAATTTTTTTCTTTTCCATTTCCAGCCGGTCCTTCCTACCCACCTCTGCCGATGCCAGCCGGTCCTTCCTACCCGCCTCAGCCGATGCCAGCCGGTCCTTCCTACCCGCCTCAGCCGATGCCAGCCGGTCCTGCCTACCCGCCTCAGCCGATGCCTTACAGCCAGGCGGCTTACGGCCCTGAACAGCCAGCGTACCCTCTACATCCGCCCGCCCAGCCGCAGCCAAATGTTCCACCCCCTCAGATGGACTTCCTGGCCCAGCCTGCATACAACCCGGATTTTTTTGCTCCATCCAAATTGGGATAAAAGATCTCAGTGCTGCATTTTCAGCCACAAACATACAGCAACATTTTAAGAACCTAGGGCTGGAAAAGTTTTTTTTTTATTATTATTACAGATAAGAAATTCCACATCTTGCTTCATTCAGTCTGATGGTAAACTTGGGAATGTAAGCTGAGTGTCTGTTACGTTTAGTAGTGAAAGCGTTGAAGCCTTTTGGCTCGTGTTACATGGACGTGCAGTGGATATGTGTGGTTAGATTATCTAATGCCAGTTTCTACGTGGCTCTATTTTTGTCATCATGTCAAATGAAACATAAAACCACTGTGTTTGATTTAAGCTTTTAATATGTGTTTTACCTGTTCAGCTCTCTGAAAACGCCTCAAATCTTCCTGGTGGCCTTTAAGTTTCTCCTTCAGTGACAAGACTTGATGTTTTCGTCCGTGCCAGTCATCTTGTAAATATCTGCTGCTGTCTTACAGAAGTGCTTTAAACTTTGTATTTCTTCATGTAAGCACATCCTTTTTTTTTTTTTTGGTAGCGTTTTAAAATGTGTGTAGCTTCTTATAGTTCACTTTCAATATTTGTTATTTGGGAAGAAATCAGGTCAAATACTCACCTGTTGATGACTGGAGCTCACATTTACAGTTTGTGTTGAGCGAGCAGGTTCATTTTAAACACTCAAAGGGAACAAGTCAAACACAGGTTGACTTTTGTGCTCATATACATAGCAGGCTTTAAACAAAGTAGTTTTATTGTTTTTATTCATCATTTTCATCTCTCTTCAAAATGGTCCAAAAGACATCGACAGCTTTGCCTGAAAAGATTTTTTTCGATATCTGTTTCACAAACATTTTGTCAAACCCGTAAAGGAAAAGTGTTATGCTTATGGAAGTGCAAAAAACTTTTGTGCCTTCAAAGCAAAGTTGTTTTGCTTTTAGTGCACTTTAAAATGATTTAATTTTATTTCTAATTGTTTAAGTTTTCCGTCTAGAAGATTGTCATTTGGGCTTGTATTTATTTATAAAGGACTGTTTTCAATTTGTTTCCCACACCCTCACCTGTTCACAGTTCCCTCTGTTAGAACAGATTTAATAGTTCACTTTGTCAATGTTGCTGAAACACCACCATTTTTGCTTTTTGTATGCTCACCAAAACAACTTAAATAGTTTTATAAAGTGACATTTTTCATGTGATTCAGGTGAGATTGATTCTGATAGCAGCTATGGTGCAAATTGTTGATCTAAATGTTTTGTTTCTTTGGGAATTGACAGGTTTTTGTCTCTGAGGAGCCTTAATAGCCATGCTTCCTTCTGATGTCAGTTTATTTAGTCAGTCTTGATTTACATCAAGTTTTTCATCATGTTTTCACTTGTCTTTTTTTTATTTTTTTTTATAATGCCAATGGAGATGTAACCTTTTCCCCATTCATACTCCTCAAAAAATATTTTTCATTTGCTGATATTTTGAAAATTGGTTTACAACTTTTACAGAGTTTCATTAAGTACAATTTAATGTTTTTTTTTTTTTTTTTCATTTCATGTTCTGGTTGTTTAATTTTTCTGCCTTGAACAGAATGATCAATGTGTGAAATGCATGCTCTCAACCGCTCTGAGCTCAAATGGACAGAAAGTACCAGCGAATACATTAAAAAGAAAAAGACCATTTTAACGTTTGAAGAGTTGTGACTTAATGTTCTTTCTTGGTTTAGAATAAAAACAATGAGACGGACTCTCTAATAAGGTTGAGTCAGACCCTTTGGATGGATTCTTCTTTATTGAAATGTTTACCATACTTTTCGCTGTATAAGTTGCACTTTTTTGCATAAATTAGCATGCCCTGTGACTTATACTGCAAAGCCACTTATGTTTTTTTCCCCATATTTATAACCCAATTTTTGACCGAGATCTTATGATTTAATTCATTCTGACATAGAAAATATTGAACACTACCATTTTCAGCCACTAAAGGGTGCTCAAGTCTTGTGTCAAGCCTAGTATTTCATTAATAGGTAAAAGTGGCTATTAATGTGACACTTTGCTTGCCATAAGCCACCTTTGTCTCGCTCTGGAATTACTGGAGCAAACGTTAAATCAGCTGCATTTCGCCGCGCCACCCAGGAGAAATGTAGCTGATTTAACCATTAACGTGCATTTATTAAGGAAAAATTCAACTGAGACACATTTACTATAATTTTGAGCAAACAAATAATTGTTTTTAAATGTTAATCTTGTTAAATTCTTGTTAATAAACTAATCATAAACGGCTGCCTTTTGGCACAACACCGGCCAACGTTTCTGGGTGGTCAGTGGTGATGCATAATAGATGCAACTTATACGGCGAGCAACATTTTTTTTCCATTTTATTAGACATATTTGGACTGATGCAACTTGAATGGCGATGCGACGTGTACGGTAGTCTGCACTCAGATGGAAAAAAGTCTTGGATAAAAAACTAGGGATGCACAATATTGGATTTTTGGCCAATATCCGATATGTTAAAACATATTTGGCCGATAATCGATATTTTATATACGTTCCTTTATTAAAACATAGCCCTCTTATTTAGGCTTATTTGCTACAAAAATTGTGTACCAGCTGTCAGAGCTGGTGACATATTCAGTAACAGCCATACGATATGCATAGCACTTTAACTTATATTAAATGAAAAGTGTTAAATGTTATTTATTAGCATTAGTCATCTGCAATGCTGTCTCACTTGTGGAGTCTTGTTCCAGGTTCCTAGCTGCAGATCCTCTGTACTCCTGTGCATGAAGGACAGCCTTTTTAAGTTCAAAGTTTTTGTCTATCCATTGTGCCGCAAGACTAATCATGCTAACGGGGCTAACACAACGTCCAAATGTCTGTGGTAAAACTCACCCAACAAGTCGTGCTATCGGCTATTAGCTTCTCAGTGACATCAGAAATGATGGCTTGTAACTCGGGTAACGTTAAGTCGGAAAAAATATCTCCAACTGCGGACGATGTAGTGAGGCTCAACATAGTCCATTAATCTTCGGAATTCGACATCCTCACCAATGAAAAATAAAACTTCCACACCGCCGACATTTTGAATATTCCTCTCCACCGTGAGATCAGGTAGACGCATGTGACATCACGCCACTGCAACGTCATCACGCTCTGCTGCCGCTGCAAGCAAAATACATCGCCTTTTATATCGGCGAGTTATTTTAATGGAATGGCCGATGTCCGATATTGAAATTTAATGTTAATATTGGCCGATACCGATACCATGCCGATAATATCATGCATCCCTAAAACAACGGAAACGTTTCAACAAGAATAATCCATCCAGAGGACATGACTCAACCTTGATAGATTCATCTACATGGATTATTGAGCATGCATCAGGACATTGTACACTAATATTTAATTTATTGGTTTGTTTTTAAGAAGACCCAGTTGAGATGGTTCAGCTTTTTGCCCTCTGGACACTTTATGGAAGTTTTCCAGTCATGTCCAACTGGAAGGAACACTCTGGAGCGACTATGTCTCTCGGTTGGCCTGGGAACACCTTGGAGTCCTCCCAGAAGAGCTGGAAGAGGTGACTCTGGAAGATGTGGGGTGTCCCAACTCAAGCTGCTGCCCAATCGACCCGACTTCAGAACAAGCAGAAAATAAATGGATGGATGAATGAATGGTTTTTAAAGACCGCTTTCCTGAAGAAAGTTTTCTTAAACACATGGTTAGCTGAACAAAATGAAACACACTTGTTGGATAAAAAAAAAAAAACACATTTTATACATGAAGGATAAAACCGTCTTCATTGGTCACTGGTCATTGTGCAAGAGATGACATGGAGTCTGAAATACAGGGTCTATGAGGGCAGCCATATTGAAAAAAATGGAAGAAAGTAAAAGTATATTAAAGCAAGTGACCCAGAGTCACTGCAGCCAGGGTGAATCCCACATTTTAGGGATTAGAAAGGTGCAGGCAGCACACAGCAGCACTTAAAAAGCTAAAGTAAAAAATAAAAAAAAAGAAGCTTCAGACTAACAGTTGCTCTGTGAAAACTACAAATAAATCACATCCCCCCCAATTTTTTTTTTCTTTCGGCTGCTCTCTTCTTCAGGGTTTGCCACAGCGCATGAAGACTTGGCAATTATTTCTACGCCGGATGCCCTTCCTGATGCAACCAGATCACTGAGCTAGCCCTCTGTGTGGAGCAGAGAGCTGCTATCCAGGGCACCCAGGGGAGCAAATGGTGGGGGTTCAGGGCCTTGCTCAAAGGCCCAGAGTGGGGTAAATGAGGGTGGAGGCAGGTGTTGGTGCTTCACTTATCCCACCCACATTTTGTTGTCAGTACCTTGAGTTAAACCGGCGATCTTCCGATCACGCCTTCCCTAACCTCTGCTCCACCACTCCCTTGGTGTGTGAATGACATAAAGCTCTGGTCATCACACATTAATTTTTACCACCATGATGGAATAATGTAGAAGAACCAGCTGAATAATAAAATATTTACTGCCTCAGAATCTGCTGAGACACTGGTTGGAATTGTGATTTCAACCTTTTCTCTTTCTGTTTCTTGCCATACATGAAGGATTAAGTTCTGGTGCCATATATTCAATGATCACCTGTCATTAAGCAGGTGACAGATCGGTTGGTTTATCTGATTGCACCTTTTCCCTCACAGTAAATACATTTTCTCCAGGCGCTCCAGTTTCTTTCCACCGTTAAGAAAACAAGTCCACACAGAAGAGCTCCACGAGCCAAGATTTGAGATAAGAAAAATTAAACCTAAAGTAGGAGATTAAAGAGGGATTGTAATCCTGAAATCTCAAAATACAAACGTATCAAGATGCTGTTTGCAAGAAATGACAATATAATGTTTAAAGTCTTCCAATGGGACGTGGGCGAATCAGCCTGAATATCTTAAGAGTGACAAGCAGTTTCTGTGCAAGAGGCCTGGGTGGAGACAAAACAAGTTTAGAGCAAATCTGGGTGGAATCAGTTTACTGCAGATCACGTGTCAGTCAATGACCATAACAGTCAAATTGAAAACAAATTTTGGGTCCGGTTTTTGCATGAACTAAATTTAATTTTCTAGTTCTCATTTAATGGCAGGATCGCACGTAAAATGACCACATTACAGCTACTCAGTCATAGAAATGTTGCAAATGGGTTCTATAAGTTGCATTATTGAGCCTGTTGCTTCAGGGTTTTTTTTAATATTAAAGCATGCAACTTTCTTTTTTTTTTTTTTCCAAATTACAGAACATAATTAATTTATAAAAAGGAATATTTAGAAATAGCTGACTAAATAATAAAATGGAGTAAATCTAGCTTAAAACTTGTGCATGAAACAAAACAAAAAAAAAAAAACAAGGCTGTAAATAAGACTAAGAGTCATTAACAGTGAATAAATGTGTATTTTGTATGTTTAGCTGCTTTTACATTCACTGACAGACAGCCTGTTTGTGACTGTCTTTATAGCCTAATTTGTTTGGGGCGCACTTCATGTTTTAATGCACGCTCAGATAAATCGAACAAGGTTAAGCCAGGTCCTCTGGACAGATTCTTCTTTGTTGATTCGTAAACAACGATGAAAATGAAGAATATATCTTGAAGACATGCACATCCTTGATAGAGACGAACGTTGGTTTGAGAGAGAAGTAAAAGAAGCCATCTTTGTGAAGAGAACTCATCCATCGTTAAACAGGGGCAGAGGCCTCCGTGTCCGATTGTCCCCCTCATATAAAGCTGTTATTGCTAGTATCACTCAGCCCTCTGTGAATAGCAAGAGGCCATCAGGGCAATTATTAGGCTGATGGTCCTCCTTTTGCATGTGAACAACTAGTTTGGGACGTCACAGTAAACTGGTTGATCCACTATGAGAAGATGCTGCTTATAAGACTGAACTTGTTGCAGCTCCTCAGACTGAAGAAGTCTTTTAGATAAGACGATTTCGACAATACAATTCGTCCAGAAGACCGTAACCTTGTTAGACTTCTTGTTTTACAGCTGCTGTCTTTGAAAAACATGAATAACGAGTCAAACTTTAACTTATTTGTATGTTCTCAAAGAATGATTTGGAAGCTGAATAATAATCAAGGTCAATAAAAGCAGCCCTCTGCTGCAACGCTCTCATGTATTGGCAAATACTCCACATGTGATGAGGGAATGTTGTTGGGTTGGTTGTTACAGGTTGGGACAGATATACAGGTTCAAACAGTTGACTTGTTTTAGAGTCAACCTCATTTTTCGTCATCCTCTGGATCACAGAAGTCATGGTTTCAGGTTTTTGGTCCGGTGTTTTGTGTGTTTTTTGCTTGGTCGTAGTCCAAGCAGTTTGGGGTGAGTGTCAATCTTTGGTCACATTCCCACAAAGTGAAAGAGCTGTGGAGCTGAAACAGCTGATGTGTGGTTTCAAAGATGCTGTTTTCAGTTCACCTTCATTACTTTTCTCTTTGAATCAGTGCGTTGTGTCTTACAGCGGATGATTGTACAAGCTACTGGAACGCCAACGGTTACTTCTCCGAGGCTCAGCAGTGTGTCAAGTACTGCTGTGGGGACTGCAGGAATAAATACTGCTGCAAAAACAAGAAAGACAGCCTGACTGAAGGAGAGCAGCAACAATGTTTAACAAACAGGTGTGGCTCTGCTGTCAAACTATTTCTCTTTCCAAAGAGTTTAAAAAACATTTCTGTGTGGAATATGCTAAATTATTACACGAAATTGTTAAATCATTGTTAAAAAATACTTTTTTTTCTTCTTTTTTCAAACCCTCCCAGCATCGGTTTGATAGTGGGAGCCACGCTTGCTGTTGTTATCCCTGTCATCATCTGTGTGGCCCTTATCATCTGCTATGTCTCTCCTTCCTGTTTGATCTACAAACGTTGCCGAAAAAGACGCACCCAGAGGCAGATAGGTACGACTCAGTTTTAACCGCAAAAGCCAGCTTGTTTTGATACAGATGCAAGTGATGGGTAACTGCGTTCTAGTTTCCAAATTGTTCAGCTCATCCTGTTTTTTTTTTACACATAGAAAGTGCGATGGCGTGTGGAAGGAACAAATATTTGTTTTTACAAAGCGCTCAAGCACTGTGAATCGTTTTTCAGCGAAATGAAAGTGTGATTTTTTCATGCAGCTGTAACAAACACACCTCAGCCTCCACTCTCCACATCTGGACATCAGCCAGCCTATGGGGACTATCAGTCTGTGCCAGTGTATGAGGATCCGCCCATACCTTCAGCACCACCTCCATCATACCTGGAGATTAGTAAGTATTCACTCCTTACTATTTACAATTACTTTATCAATACATATTTAAATAGTGAGGTGTTCAAGAGAGTCCAGCTGATAAATTTTGTTTCTGTTTTTGTATTACGATAATTTGCCTTTTTAAGTGATGTGGGTTTACAAAAATGATCAACCTTGTTTTATATCATACACAGGCAGCAATAATCATTTAGAAACAACTATGCTGGGGGTCTGCACCTTTAACAATCCAAAGAGTTGTTTATGCCCCTTCGTTCACTAAATTAAGTGTCTGGAGCCACAACGATCTGCTACAACTGTGATCATCAACTGGTGGCCCATGGACCACTTTATGTTTGTTTGAGGAGGCTTTTATGGCCAGTATTGGTGACTTTATAAATATATGAGAATATATATAAAACTAAAAATACCTATTTTTTTTACATTTTAATATTTATACATTTTAAGACAAAAGAAAAAACGAATTGTCGTAAAGAAAGAAAAGAAAAATACAGATTTGAACAGTTTTGTGAAATTTTAATCAATGAATTATGATTTTATTTTTTTATTGTGGAAAAATATCCTACTTTATAGAGATAAAGCATAAAGTGAGTATGCTTTACTTTTTGTATTGCTCTACTACTCACATGTTTGCAACAAATTAAAAAAATACAGGAAGACTATTAAAGTGACCCTTTTTTTTATTTTAGTACAACAACCAAGAAAATTCAGTTTTATGTTAGTTTTGGTCAAAGCTTGAAAGAGCAGCTGTAGATGGAGCAAAGAGCCACAGGTTGCAGACCCCTGAACTAGGCCAACAGAACACTGGCATTTATTCTACTATGAGGTGTTTGTTGAGCTCTTTGGTTCAATTCTGTTCAGTTTGATTCAGGTTTTTAATATAT